GCTGCTTCGTTTTGATGATCGATTTCTTTCAACGCACATAGCAAATTATGTGAACTTGGATACAGAGGAAGAGAAATCAAGCCACGTGGCATCCTTGATAAGAAGGCAGATAATGTCATCGACACAATTCCTTAAAGACATACATCAAAATGTGAATGTGCATCAGTTAATGCCCTGGTTTGAATGCAAGTTTGAATGTGTTGATACTACACAAGATTAATGCACTGATTAGTCTTATGTACACTCTTAAAAATAAAGGTGCTTCAAAAGGTTCTTCAAGCGATGCCATAGAAGAACCATTTTTGGTGGAAATTCAGTCAAAGGTTCTTTAAAGAACCATCTCTTTCTTACCTTTTTATAATCTGAAGAACCTTCTTTCGCCCCAAAGAAACTTTTGTGAAACAGAAAGGTTCTTCAGATGTTAAAGGTTCTTTATGGAACCATTTAGACAAAAAGGTTCTTCTATGGCATCATGAAGCACCTTTATTTTTAAGAGTGTAGCCTTCAGACTGACGGCTGAAGGTCTGGCATCCATGGCAGCTTTCATTGGCCAAGGCCCGCCCATGAGGCCATTTGATCGACATGTCAAACAACCAATCACAGTTCCTTTCGTTCATCGTCACGTTTCGGGGTGTGGAAATGTCGCCACAATAACAGAACAGTGTGTAAAACTCTTGGACGTATTTGAAAGATTCTATGCCGTGAACTTTAAATATTTCACATACTTTTGAAAATCCAGCGTTTAGTTGATCCTGATAAGCGCTCGTCGTCACAGTTGTAAACACGACGGCTTTCTTCTTTCGTGAGGGGGTTTGGCGTCACGGCAACTTTGTTTCCAGGCGGAACGTTACAGAACGCGACACACACGTCTCCCGGAAATCCTGTATAATTCAACCAATCCGATGACGACTTCGAAACTCCTGAAGTGTTTCCACTTTTGTGTGCCATATGCATCATACGTTTAGCCAACGGTCCGTGGGCGGGACGTCTGAGGCTGAGACTATGCCCTGATTAACCACTGCAAAGTTCAGTGAAATGCAGATCTACACAACAGTATATTCAGCATCAGGTATGTTCTGATTATTACTAGCAGTGTTTTCTTATATTGTGTTGCTTTGCACAGTGTTTTGGTTTTAAGTATAGACTGTGTTTTATCACAGTTTGAGTAGTAAACAAACAGGCAGTTGGCCAAAAGTAAATGTTGCATTATATCCAACTATTTAATTAAAATGTATTACATTTAATTTTTTAAATATTTAAAATTGGGGAAAAAATTAAATTATATAAATAAATATTCTTATTTAGCAATGATGCATTAAATTGATCAAAATTGACAGTAAAGACATTTGTTACAATTTTTTAAAAATAAAATCTGTTCTTCTGAGCTTAAAAATATAAGAAGCACAACATCGTTTTCAACATTGATAATAATCGTAAATGTTTCTTGAGCAGCAAATCAGCATATTAGAATGATTTCTGAAGGATCATGTGACACTGAAGACTGGAGTAATGATGTTGAAAATTCAGCTTTGATCACAGGAATATATTACATTTTACAATATATTCAATTAGAAAACTGTTATTTTAAATTGTAATAATATTTCAATTTCATTTTTACTGTATTTTTAATCAAATAAACACAACCTTGGTGAGCAGAAGAGATTTTTTTTTTAAGTATCTTACACAAACCCTTTCACAAAATCTAATTCAGCCGATCAAGCAGTTAATAGCAGCACTTTGGGGTCAAACTCCGTGCAAATTAATTACCATTTGGATGCAAATGTGTTCCACCCCCATATTATTTAAATTAGATTGCACAAATAATCAAGTTTGTACTTGCTGCTGATAGGGATTTTATAGGGATTTGATAACCATTTTATTAATTTCATCCATTATTAAAGGAAATACGCAATGCAGTAAGCCAGAAAAGAAAATGCAGTTTATATTTTCTCTAAAACTGTACTAAAACAAAACAGTATAAAGCTTTAAGGTCACAGTGTTTCATCATGCCTTTCAACAGATCACCACCATAATCTGTCTTTCAATGTAGTGACAGCACATCCTCTGAGGCCAGATACGAAAGGAGAGAAAATCCCTTTCAATATACATCAGTAGTTGGACGTGCCAGCGTGAGATATCACAGTTCAAACTAGGCCACACAGAACAGTCGTGCATTCAAACTCCGTTTCGGAACAATGCTGCAGGAAACGGCGCCAAACATTCCGGGCTCCGTGTGACCGACACATTCCCGCTCGGGCCGTGATCTGCCGGCTCTGTGCTGACACGGTGATGCTGCTGTGTCAGTGTGGCGTAGTTGTGTTTGCATGAAAGAATACCGTCATCCAAAACACAGAGAGACGAAAACAGTTTGTGCAAACAGGAAAACTAACGCTCAAGCTAAAGCGCAAAGTGCACTACATAACAACTGAAATATACTGAAGTATTTAAATTACTCAAACTAAAACGGAAATAAATATAAAGAATAAGAAAGAGAAAATTATAAATATTAGAAATGATAGAAATAAAAAACAATAACTACAGTAATAAAAGTTGTTGTTGTTCACTAAAAGTATTAAAACACATTTTCATTAGCTTAAATTAAGCTAAAATATAAATATTAGATGAAAAATGTACACTTAAAACAAAAAAATTAGAAAAAAAATTTGTCGCCTTGGCATCTAACTGAAATGAAGTGCTAAAATTACTAAAACAAAAATTTTAAAATTAAATCAATAATAATAATAATACTAAAAAGGACAAAAGCATATAGAAAATTACCATAAACTAAAATTAAAACTGAAAACATAAAAAGTTCAATTTAAAATATTAATCAATACTATAATAGTATATAAATAAAAAAAACAGCTTGAAAAATGTAAACTACATTTATCAAGTCGTGGTTTTTATTTATATACTAGACAGGAAATATTCATTTTTTATTGTTATTGTTCATTGAAATAAACTATTAAAAACATTTTCATTACTTGAATTAAAGCTAAAATAAATATAAATATTAGATGAAAAACTTGAAATTTAAAAAATTTAAATTAGAAATGTTTCCCTGGCAAGTAACTGAAACAAAATAAGTTTAATTAATAAAATTACTAAAACTAAAAACTAAAAATAATAAAAGTACATAAAAATACTAAAATGAAAATGAAAATAAAAAATATAACAATACAAGTTAATTCAAAATATGAATGAATAGTAGTATAAATAAAAATGTATAAAAATAAAACAGTGTCACTACTTCTAGTTACTTCCCTAAACTGACATAGAAATAGTACTGGATCAAAGACAAGTTTGACCAAACAAAAATGAGTAAAGTTTTGCAGAAAACATCTCCTATGCTTCCTTTGTATGCAGGAGGTGTCGGCTCAATACGCAACAGCACAGACAAATTGAGATATTCCTGGAAATAAAGCCCAGTAGCCACAATATCTCAGTAATTGAGAGCTCTTTCAGGTCATATCGCGGGGATTTGAATTTAGAATTGAAGTGTTGCACTGAATGCGTAAGTGATTCATGGCACTCAAGTGGACCGTCTCGACACGTCTGCTGATTGTACATCGCTCTTCAAAGCAGCGCGCCGTGCCATCCCTCTCTGAGGCCCGATGATGATTCACGTTATGAGCTAATAACGCTTAGACATGCTCCAGTTCCCACCACTGCCCTCCTGATGGAAATAAATGCCTCTAATTATTCCCATCAGAATCAGATATCGCTGGAAATGAATAAACAGGATTTGTTGCAGAGATGTCCAGATTCAACTGGGTCATGTGTGAAGATGGGGTCTGGAAACAGATCAGTAGATTGGGGATGTTTTCCACATTATTAAAGGTTGTGACGAGAGGGGCGGGGCCGAGAGCCGTGGGAACGGAGCGAGGCCGGTGGAGTAAATGCTAATGCGCGACACCTGCGCCACTCACCAGTCTCGAGTCCCACGGAGGAGCTCCAGAAGGATAAAAGGAGGATTGACCACAGTGTTGGACGAGAGAGGACCAGGCCTGGATTTTGTTTTGTGTTTTGTGTGCAGCAGTCGTCCGTGAGGGGCTGCCGCTTTACTTTCATTTTGTGTTTGTTTATTTTATTAAAGTCTTTAAATGTTCGCCGGTTCCCGCCTCCTTCTTCCCGTGACTACGAACTGTGTTACAAAGGTGTTTTAAATGAATGAGATGAGACTGTAACTGGGATGGGCAGTATGACAGTATACAGTATATATATATATATATATATATATATATATATATATATATATGGTTTCAGTCTTTTGTTTGATAGCATTTGTGATTGATCATTCATTTGTTATTAGGGTTTCTGCAGGGTTTATGAATGTCAATTTAAAGAAAATTTAAGGACTTGAATTAAGGACTTAAGACTTTATTCTCTGATTTAAGATCTTTTTTAAGGCTTTAATTTATGGAAGGGCAAATTAAGAATTCTAAGACCTGCAGAAACCCTATGCATAATCACCTTTGAGCTTGTGCAAATTAAAGGAGAAAATAATATGTTTGTTCAAAAATACAGGAAATAATGGAAAAACTGTTAAATATTATTACAATTTTAAATAACCATTTTCTATTTGATTATATTTTAAAATGTCATTTATTATTGTGATGCAAAGCTGAATTTTCAGCATTATTACTCCAGTCTTCAGTGTCACATGATCTTCAGAAATCATTCTAATATGCTGATTTGCTGTACCGAGAAACATTTCCTATTATTGTCAATTTTGAAAACAAAGTTGTGTTTTATAAATAAAAAGTTGTGCTTATAAAAAAAAGAAATACTTTAAGTAAATTCATGTTGGTTTATGGATTTTTTACTGGAAAACAAGACTTATTTTGGAAAATTATAAATATCGTTAATGTCACTTTTGATTAATTTAATGCATCCTTGATAAATATAAGTATTCATTTCCTTCAAAGTATTTAAGTGAAATATTGAGTAGAAGCGAGTTTCATTTGTACGTGTGAAAGCTGATGTGAGTATCTCCTCACCGGGTTCTGCGGTCAGAGGTCTTGCTGCAGGTGTGCTGAGGAGGAACGTTTCTCCACTTCTTGGCTTCCACCACCATGGCCTCGGCATCCACCAAACCAAAGCCATACAGATGACTGACTACAACCACACACACACATACCAAATATTAACCAGGTACGGATGTCACAGACAGCAGAATGTCTATACTTAAAGGGGCTATATGATGCGATTTCAATTTCAAAGCTCTTGGTGCATAAAGAAGATCTGTAAAGTTGCAAAGACTAAAGTCTCAAATCCAAAGAGATATTCTTTATAAAAGTTAAAAGTCAACCATAGCTCATTCTAACACGCCCCCACATGTCTACGTCACGATGTGGGAAGTTTTGTATAACACCGCCCAAATGTTCACGCAAAGCAAGAAGGCGTAGCTTTGATACTCGCTGTAGTATTGTTGTTGCCGCCGCCATGTCGTGAAGACGCTGTGTGTTTCGTTGTGAAAGTGAAACTACTTTGTTTGGTCTTCCAAAAGAGGACACAACTAGAAATCAGTGGTTAAGTTGTATTTACAACACTGTTCCAGAAAAGTTCAACCCAAATATTCAGATGTGTGCAGCGCATTTTACGGAGGACAAGGACTGTTTCCTGGGAGAGTAGCCTACACTGCCGGTGTCTGTTTCTATAAAATGGGGCAGTTCCAACTTTGCAAGGACAGTTTTTCTGACTCACAGCCTGTAAGTATGTTTTCATATTTAAAGGATTTGCCTCTGATGATTCAAAAGCGAGTTTTGAGCAGTGTAGAGTAGCGCTTGTTGTTTGTCATTTCTCCGATCACCAATGCAGACATGGTTTTATGTTTACGTGGCGCGATACGCAATGCAACGCGTCAAAAGACAGTAAAAAAGACAGTATAAGTTATATTATAAATTATTATAATCAGTAATTATGTCCCCACTGGATGCAACAAATGCCTCGTTTATAATGGGTTTTCATGTTTTTGCCTCGTCGCTCTGGCCGGACAGGGCATCATCACAGTATGGTAAGGGGCGTAACATTTCCGTCTCACGCTTGAGGTATTCGGCCAATCACAACGCACTGGATAGCTGGGCAATCAGAGCACACCTCGCTTTTCAGACCGATGAGCTTTGTAAAAATCGATGGTTTTCAGAAAGGCGGGGCATAGAGGAGAAACAATAATGTACAGTATGTGGAAAATAATGTTTTTTTAACCTTAAACCGCATAAACACATTTCATTACACCAAATACACCAAATAATTTTATTTTTAGCAACATCATATGACCCCTTTAAATAAGACTATCTGAACTTATTCAGAAGGCATTCATGCTGAAATTTTATTCACTAGTGTCACCAATATGGGGTTTTAATGCTGATGTTAATATCTAGAGTGCAGAGCAGATATTGCTGATATGTTACCAAAAAATTCATTTTAAAGACAGCAAATATGAAAATTATCAAAATCATATACAATTATTTGACAAATACACTTAATCAGATTTCTGAAAATGTAGGACAAGTTTACAGAGAATATGTGACCCTCTCTGTGAAAACCCAGCTAAAGTAATTTTTTTGTGATTTACTGTTTTCTACATAAAACCATCCTTCATAAGGTAAAGAACATTCTGTGGAAATGTAACCTTTATATCTTTAATACTGACTGAGTAGGGCCATGTCAAATATTGAAATTATAGTGAAATTAATGGTTGAATTCAAACTTTGATGCTTGTTATCTCATAATTAGATTTTGAGACTTTAGCCTGGATTTCACAGAGAGGGTCACATATGTCTTAAATTAAGTTTATTTTTCTTAAGCCACTGGCAAGGTTTTTTCCTTCTTTTTTTTACAAAATTTATCCTTAAACAATTTGCCAACGAAGAAAGAAAAATAAACATAATATTAAAGATATCAAAGATATTCTCTGAAATTAAAGAGTTCACCCAAAAATGACAATCCTGTCATCATTTACTCAACCACAAGTTGTTACAAAACTATGAGTTTCTTTCTTGCGTACTATGGAAGTCAATGTCTGTCTTCTAAATATTTTGTGCTTTTTCATGTGTTTTTTTTTTTTTTTTGCTTAATATTTTTGTGATCCACAGAAGAAAGAAACTCATACAGGTTTGTAACAACCTGAGGGTGAGTAAATGATGACCAAATTTTCATTTATGGGCGAATTATCCCTTCAGGTCTTATTATCTTACACAATAACTAACAAAATAAATAAACATTTCTTAAATTAATGCTGGTTTATGGACATTTTGAAATGTATATTGGAAAACAAGACAAAAATACTTAATAAAAAAATTTGTGGATAACTCTCATGCATTCCAAAAAACATAACTTTATGTTCTATTCCACTCAAAATAAAAAAGCACTAAAGAGTTCCATGACATTACCATGCATTTGGGCATATGTGACCCTGGACCACAAAACCAGTCATAAGGGTCAATTTTTTTAAATTTAGATTTATACATCATCTGAAAGCTGAATAAATAAGCTTGTTATGATAGGACAATATTTGGTCGAGATACAACTATTTGAGAATCTAGAATCTGAGGGTGCAAAAAAATTAAAATACTGAGAAAATCGCCTTTAAAGTTGTCCAAATGAAGTTCTTAGCAATGCATATTACTAATCAAAAATTAAGTTTTGATATATTTACAGTAGGAAATGTACAAAATAACTTTATGGAACATGATCTTTACTTAATATCCTAATGATTTTTGGCATAAAAGAAAAATCTATCATTTTGACCCATACAATGTATTTTTGGGCTATTGCTACAAATATACCCCAGCGACTTAAGACTGGTTTTGTGCTTACATTGTGTCAGAAATGTACCATATAAAATCAAACTTATCATATGCCACTTCACTGCTCTCTATCACATTATGAGTGAAAAAAAGAAGAAGAAATTATAATACACCACACATCTACATTTAAACAGTGTAAATATCATGCAGAAAAGTCACCTTTGTGTCCGGCTGCATTGGTTTTCCAGTCACTGGCTTTCAGGTGAGCCTGTCTGGACGTCTTCACGAGAAGATGCTGGACATCTCTCCAGGTTATCAGAGGACTGAAACATAAAATGACAAAGACTTTTTATGAGCCTTTCGAGTTTTATTGCTCTATTGAAAAGTACTGTCCTCTGTACAACAACAGCTATTTCATTTCGTTTTGTCTGTTTCGTATTTCAAATATTAAGGGAGTTTTGGATCAAGTCCCATTTTTGCTTCCCATCTGAGAGGCTCTGTTTGTAGGGGCTTTTTTGGGACCCTCATTCATTTTAATGTAACAACTGCATCCTAGCAGGTAACTTTATCCCAGCAGCTCTCTATGCTGCCGTCGCTTTTTTGCTGTCATCCGGCTCATGAGTCTCATGCACAGATAAATATGTGGAAAGATCACATCAGTAAGTTCAACAGCAGCACTCCAGCTTGTGTGATACTTTTTAAATAGATTAGTGGTTTTGAAAGTCTGTGAAAGTTTTGTTCAACAATATAAAATACACACATCATGCCTCAAATGTAAATATAGTCTTGAGAGCTGAAACCATAATATACACACACATGATTATGCTAAATTGAATTACAGTCCTGAAAGCCTTTACAAGCAGAGAATCCAGACAGAAAGCAAGACAAAGGAATCCAATGGAAAATTCGATTCAAATTCGATTTCCTTAATATTTAGTTTTACTTTACTCTTGCAGATGAAAAAGGTTTATGAAAAAGACTGAATTTCAAATAAGCATAAAAAGTTCTTCCTTTCTATAAGGGCATTGCGAATGCATAAATGTGACCCTGGATCACAAAACCAGTCTTAAGTCGCTGGGGTATATTTGTAGCAATAGCCAAAAATAAACTGTATGGGTCAAAATTATCGATTTTTCTTTTATGTCAAAAATCATTATGATATTAAGTAAAGCTCATGTTCCATGAAGATATTTTGTAAATTTCCTACCGTAAATATATCAAAACTTAATTTTTGATTAGTAATATGCATTGCAAAGACCTTCATTTGGACAACTTTAAAGGTGATTTTCTCAATATTTTTTAATTTTTTCAAATAGTTGTATCTCGGCCAAATATTGTCCTATCAACAAACCATACATCAATGGAAAGCTTATTTATTCAGCTTTCAGATGATGTATACATCTCAATTTTGAAAAATTTACACTTAAGACTGGCTTTGTGGTCCAGGGTCACAAATGTAAATGTTGTAAGGCAGTTGCTAGGGTGTCATAATGATAATAGTAACATATCTGTCTACAATCTTCATTTAAAGTCTTAAAGCAAAAACCTTTTGTTTTTAAATGTCTAAACGATCAAAGATGCACACAATAAATCCAGTCAGACAGATATGTGACATTAAAAACACCACTGCAAAAGAACTGAGGAGTAATTATGAAGTGCAAGTGTTAAAGGGACAGTTGACCTAAAAATAAAAATTCTGTCATCGTTTATCTAAAATGTCACCAAACAAAATGTAAAAGGCACTCAATATTTAGTTATACTGCTGATTTGACTGCATCAGATGAGAACAAAACCTGAACTGAATTGAGCTTTACAGCTGAATTAGTATCATATTTGACGAATTTTGCAAAATTGAGACTGTTATTGAATCAGCACTGAACTGACTTGAGCTGAATATTGACAATATTCTCTTTTTAGAGCTACTTTTCAGCAGAATTTGAATTTATCTAATATTTGAAGACGTTTACATCAATGATTTCGTTATTTCTCTGTTTATTACTTTGAAGCTGCTTTGAAACAGTATGCATTGTATAAAGCACTACAGAAATAAAGGTAACAAAATTGGATCCCATTGGATGTGCAAAGAAAGGCATGTTTTTCAAAATATCTTCTTAAATAGGTTTGGAACAGCATGAGGGTGACTAAATCAAGCGTAGTGTTAGTTCTGGCAGGTCACGTTAGTCAAGCTCGCATCAGCTGACTCTCAGCTGATCCCCATCTACCTATAGGAATACGACACCTATCTAAGCATTCATATATAAGGTCCCTCAGTATTATCAGCAGTTTTCGCATTGCTCAATAGCTAATTACCCTCCTCCATCCCCAGCTCCTCCTTTGTCAGTCGGGATTCAGCCTTCTGATTCTCCTTTGAATCAGACTAATTCTAAAATGTGTACATAAAATTATTGAACTTTAACAATATCTGCAATACATTTATGTTGGTTCTGTTCTGTTTATTGCTGTTATTGCTGCTCTCCCTGCTCTCTTTCATGCTAGGCTGCATGGATGCGCAGGGAGTTCTTGCCCAGAACAGAACCATACCACCAATCCAAACTGTATGCTAATTGTCAATCATCTTTGACGATAGTGGTCCTGATAGAAATTGTCAGAAATGTCTCTTTAAGCCAATAAAACATTAAATATAAAAACGGAATATAAAGAAGCAGTGCAGCTTCCTGCATCTGTTTTATGGAAAAATAATGTCAAAATTGTGGAAAGTGATGAAGGGGAATGGAAAACTGACTTTGCCTCCAGAGCGAGAGCAATGACACCCGCCACCATGGGTGCAGATACAGAGGTGCCTGTGTGTCCATCAGTACATCTCTGCCGCAGGTCTGTGGTCACCTGGTACCAGAAACACATAAATACAGAGCATTAAAGAGTTAACAACTTCAGTTTAGATGCAGCAACGTGGACATGGATTTTCAAATTTTGTCCTTTAAATCTTATGAACAGGTACACCAGGTCTTCTAGATTAGCATGTCTTCTGTTTAGGCAAAAGGTCAAGTCCTCCTTAATAAAATGAAAATTTGCTGAAAATTATCTCTCCCTCAGGCCATCCAAGATATAGATGAGTTTGCTTCTTCATGGGAACACATTTGGAGAAATGTAGCATTACATCACTTGATGCTCTGCAGTGAATGGGTGCTCTCATTCTGACGGCACTGCAGAGCATCCATTGGTGAGCAAGTGATGTAATGCTACATTTCTTCAAAATCTGTTCAGATGAAGAAACAAACTCATCTACATCTACATGTCCTAAGCGTGAGTAAATGTTCAGTAAATTGTAATTTCAGGGTGAACTATTCCTTTAAAACTTTCAGCTATCGTCTGAAAGAATGCGCTTCCGTGACTGTGACGGGACGAGCGGTTTTCTGCAAAGTGCTCTGTAAATATTTCGGCGTTCTGGTTTTCAGTGAAACAGCGGGTCACCCACAGAGCTGCTCTGGTAGCCGCAGGCAAAGAGAGCGAGCGCTCGAGTGTGTCTTCAGTCAAACATGAGCTTGATTACACTGGTGTTTCTCAAAAGGACAAACATGAATGGGGTCAGTGCCACCGACGAGGTCCCGAGGAAGATGCTGAGATTGGAGACACATGCTCTTGTGTGCGTGTCAGGGGTTTATGTCTGTGTTTAAAAACAGTGGTTAGGAAATAAACAAGACAATACTAGACTTTTACATTTTCTGAAGACATGTGAGAAAAGTATTAACAGACTTCTCATCAACCACTTCATCTGCATGCTTAAGGGAATTTAAGAGGTATTTAAGACTGCAAATAAAAAAAAATGGAATTTAACCAGACATTTTAAAATATCAATGAATTATCATTAAAAAGTAATTAAAATCACTGAATAGTAAGTTTTATTGGGGAAAAACTACACTGTGATTGAATCATCTGAGGGTTGAAAACACATACTGATCTATAAACATATAAATTATATTATATTTTAAATATATATTATTATATATATTATATATATTTGTTTTTATTTTTATTTCTTATTTCTCCTTTTATTTCTTTATCGTTTGCTATAATAATTCTATCATTATTTTAAAATAACTTTTATGTAAAGCACTTTGAATTACCATTGGGTAACAAATGTGCCATATATACTGTATATATACATATTGAAAAATTTAAGGGGGTCTGAATACTTTCCGTACCCACTGTATATATACACATACACACGCACATATAATGGCTTATCTAACAAAAAAACTAAAGGTAAACTTGATTTTATTATCATATTTTGCCGGGAGAACACGTCATCCGCTTCTTCGTCTGAAGCTTGCGTCCGCAGCATGGCCTAGAGGACGCAGTGTCTCAGTGTCCATGGTTCCCTACTCAGGGAACCATGGTTGCATACGTAACCTGAGACGTTCCCTTTCAAGGGAACGAGACACTGCGTCCTCTAGGGGTTGCTATGGGGAACGGTGGACCCACGCCACCATGCTGAGGGGAGTGCATGCCAAACCACAGGCGAGCACTAAGTACCAACTCTACCAAAGCTTTAAGGGAGTTGGACGAGTTAAACGTTAGACGGCTGCCAGTGACATTATCCCCTACGGCCAAAGGCCTAAGCTACATACCCCAAAAAACTTTCCTGTTAGGGCCAGAACTCCTGGGCCTGGGGTAGAGCTCAAGGCTTGGAATCAGGAACAGATTCCTTTAAGGGGATACGACCAAGTGCCTAGAATCGTACTAGGTCTTGGCATGTCACCAAGGGGGCTACCGCTTGCTCTGCATGAGCTTGCTGAAGGAACTGTCTCAACAGACCCCTAGTAGCAACAGCCTGTTAAAGTAGGTATCCTGAGGATACACAGGTGGAGTGGTGCCCAAGATGGAACCGAGGCCTAATCGATTCAAGAAAGGGCACAAAGCCACCACGCGTAGCCCCTACCATACTGGATTTGATAATGTGCGAACTTACCACAGTGTGGATTTTAGAAAGTGCACAGGGACATCGAGTGCACACTTACCATAACATGGATTATGAACGTAAAGATACCGTTCTAAGGGGCCCTCGTGGCACTCTGAAAGAGCAGCCCATAGAAGGAAATGGTGCATCCCAAGAACAATATGTTTGAAAAGTCATCAACTCAATCTATGGTATAATGCTGGAATGGCTAGCTGTAAGTTACCTAGCTGAGGGAGCATAACACCCAACTCTCAGCCGAGAGGCTCGACCTACAGCCTGTTCATTCGAAAACCTGAAGGGTAAGCGTACAGCAAGCTTAGCCGAAAAAACCCAGCGTATCAGGGCGGCAGATCGCCTGATGTCTGCTGGTTCTAGGTGCTTTGGGAAAACAGAGAACTCAACTCCACATGAGGGGAGAACTCAGAATTCAGAAGAGAGGTAGCGTGCTCATTGGCAACCCTAACCACGAGAGCAGCCCATGAAGCTGGGAATTCCACACTAGTTGAGTGGAGCCCAAGGTGAGTACTGGGGCCTAAGCCAACTCAGAAACAGGGAGCGTAACGCCTAACCCTTACCATACAGGATTTTAGAAAGTGCGCAGTGTTCTTAGCGTGCACACTTACCACCATGTGGATTTTAGAAAGTGCGCAGTGTGCTCAGCGTGCACACTTACCACCATGTGGATTTTAGAAAGTGCACAGAAGCTTAGCGTGTGCAATTTCCATAACATGGATTTTATAGAGATTCCTAAGCATCTGCTCACAGATGCCCAGAAGTACTGAGCCAAACGGGAGTGGCAAGCTCAAAGACAACCCTCTGAGGCGAGGGGAGGACTGCCTGGCGATAGCACTTTACAAGAAGTTCTTGCAAAACGCCACTCATACCTCCCGCTCGACGTCACAGCGAGAGGGGATATCCTGATCCACAGTACCAGTCAGGGCAGTCTGACAAGCATAAGCCCAGGCCGGGGAGGAGCGCGAGCCGCGACAATAGCCTTCTGTGCCCGTCTTTGATCCTCAGACCGAGACGGGCCAGGACCTCTGGGTTGTTCGGGCTCAGACCTGACCCTTCGTTTAATGAAGGTTTTGAAGGCCACTGAGCGCACCTTCGCCTCTCTGACATTCTCAACCTCCATCTTGACAGAGGTACCAAAAAGTTCGGAAGGCGAAACCAGAGCATCGAGAAGAAAGCCCCTCTCTTTCTTCCCGCTGCGGTTTTCCCTGCGTATGGGTGCCAGACCAAACATTTAGCCCCAGTCTTTTTTCCAACCGTCTCATTTCATCAATAGATATTTGTGGAAAGAGCAAAACAACAAGAGCTCAGCTGTATTAGCAGGCTGAGCAACAGGATCTGGGACAGAAGATTTTTGGCAGATTGCTAGTAACATGCATATATAACAACATTTCTGGTCAAAAGATGATAAATCTCTGCGTCAGTGTTGGGATTTCTCAACCCTTTTTACACCCATAAAGCAAAAAAACCCCACATTTGACTGCTTATAAATCTACACATCTATTTGGACAAATGGTCAGATGTTTAAATACTTAAAAAAGGAGTGAAGGAGGAAAGAAAGGAAAATGTGTCAGAAATAATTTAGATGAATTGTAGGACACAATATGTGGCATCAAGAGAGCAAATGACCCAATAAAGCAGAGAACATACTTACGAGGCCGAAAGCAAGACGAGGACAAAAGGTTGAGTAGATGACAGATGGAAAAGACAAATGGAGTACACAGGGATACACGCTTATCTTGGAAAACAAGATTTTCTTGTGCTCTTTTGAAATTGAAAAGCTCAATCTGTTCCAGTGCATCTCAACCGGTTTTGCCTCAGGGCACAAGAAGCATCACAATAGAGCAGCAAAATTGATTATTGTATAAAGTAAAGAAAATGTCCTAAATATTACTGAGTTGCAGTGTTTTACTGATTACCATGAGATGCACAGGCCCAACAATATGCAAAAAAAAACTGAGTAATTAAGTCTGTCACAGTCAACAATTAAGAATTAAATAAAAGACAATAAATTAATACTTTTATTTAGGATGCTTTAAACAGATGAAAAATGACATTAAAGACTTTGTCAGTTAATAACTCAATTAATACAGCACGGCAACCACATGCGCATCCATGTTTAACACTTCTCATAGCTATGTGAAAATAAATGTATAAATGGAACAGTTCATTGTTTGAGCTGAGCTGATGATCTGAATGAGAGAGCGAGAGTGCAGAGCGTGTGCAGAGCAGGGGGACGCAAGGAACAGGATTGAGAACCGCTGCTTTAGAACATTTTGAAACTTGTGAATCCATTAGAATCGTTAGTAGACAGAACCGCAATTCATATATGAATAGATTTTTACGTGCAGCTCTAGTTTTCTCTTCCTCTTCTCTAAAGCAGATGTGTCGCCCCCTTTGTTGCACGTTCCCGGGGACAGGGTTTATCTGGGTTTGTTACATCACGAACCCGGGAAGTAACTCGTTGTAGTCCTTACGAGCCATTTTTGTAGGCATTAAACTGCCATAATTTTAAAAGACGTTTGCATTGAACTTTCAGTGCTGCAACTTTGCAGATATTGTTCATGCTCAAACAGCAACATTACACACTAACTAACGTTAAAAAAGTGAAATCGCAATCAACCACCCCTTTAATTAAATTTTTTTTTCAATTACTGAAAATAACAATGCAATAACAACACTGCCTCTAGCAGACAGATCACTTTTACAAAAAAAAAAGACAAGATTAACTACTAAATATTCCTACAAAACATAAAACTGTTATTTTAAAATTATGAGATTTACAAAATAAATCCTAAATATTTAACCCACTAGATTTTGGAAAAACAGATATTAGTACATGGTTAGACTGCACTTTAAAGAATTTTATATTGAATTTCCTACAATAATAACAATATGATGATATTTTCACTGTTATAGTAATAACAAAAAATGACTCATAAGACTTATCATACTGCCCAGACCCTGACAAAACCATCATAACATACTAGTCCAGATCAGCTTTAGACAATATCTTCCCTTCAAATGTTGTGGTTTCAATTAAGTCTTAAATTGAACTAGTGCTGTCAAACAATTAATCGCGATTAATCGAATCCAAAATAAAAGTTTTTGTTTACATAATATATGTATGTGTACTGTGTATATTTATTATGTATATATAAATACACACACAAAGAGTATATATATATATTTTTATATATTTACATGTATATACATTTATATATTTATATTCTCATATTTTATATTATACATAAATATATTTAATATATAAACACAACCAATTTTTTTAAATATATACATGCATGTGTGTGTATTTATATATACATAATAAATATACAAAGCGCACACACACACATATGTAAACAAAAACTTTCATTTTGGATGCGATTAATCGCGATTAATCGTTTGACAGCACTAAATTGAATAAACCTGACAATGACAGTTACTCAATGCTAAATTCCCATTTGTGTGCAAGTTTGAGATAACAACCTTTTTAATTCCCAGTTCAAAGGCTTGTTTGGCCAGAGGCCCCGGCCCATCCACGGTCTTCCCGTCATCGTCGGGGCCCCAACTGGCACTGTAAATGTCGATGTAGTCTGGCCTTATTCCCAGAGACTTGGCCTCCACCACATCAGTCACATCTCCATCAAGCATTCGGACACCTTCGAGAAAAAGTTCATCCAAAAACGAACAAATACAGTCATTGTATAATCAAGCCAATGTCGTTCCAAACCTGTATTATTTTATTTTCTCTGTGAAACTCAAATTGAGATGCTAGGAATAAGATCCAAGCTTGCATGCAACGTAAACAGATGGTGATTTACACAGCCAAGATCCAAAATGCACCATGAAAGTGACATAAAAGTAGTGCACTGTAATCCAAGTGTCACTGAGCCATATTATAGTTTTGTATGAACTGAATTCCCAGACTGACCTCTTACAAAGATAAATGCTATTCAGTTTTTCAAAACAAAAATGCATTCCATAATGCAAGAACCAACAGTGTTTGGGCTTTAAACCTGGCGCGACTCATCTAAAAGTGCCGTTTTTTTTAAAATGCAATGGAGCAAACGGAGACTGACACACAAACCCACACAGAATCATATGCCATATGTTCACTAACGAACACAAAATTTGCAATTAAAGTCTATTGTACTCTGCAGCAATGAGATGTTTCCAAATGCCTTGACAATCTGCTGTCTTTCTCCTCATTCCATTATTGAACCACAGCTTAATTTCCTTTACTAGTTCTTTATTCTCAAAGAAGAAAGCCTTTGTATTTTTTTCATAACTTGAGAGAATAGGTGTTAAAAAAAAGTCTAGTATCTATGCAAGTCATTAAGCTGAAAATGTTATCCAAAGCCTCTACAGTAAATCTTTTACTTCTTACATTTGTAGGATTTACTTTGAAACAATTTTTACTCAGAAAATTCTAGTACATCTCACAAATGATTACAAAGAAATGATCTTGATCTATGATCTATGGCAGCTTGTTTCCACCATGTGATAAAAATAAAAGAGGGTAATTGCAACTTTTTATCTCATAATTATAATTATAAATAATTCAGACTTTTTTGCTAGCAATTCTGAGTGGGTTTTTTTCTTTCTCACAGTTCAGACTTATTTTCTTGCAGTTCTAAGAAAACAAAACAGAACTGGGAGAAAAATACTGGGACAAAAAACTAGCAGAAATTAATTTGTAATTGTGAGCTTATAACTAGCAATTCTGACAAATAAACTCACAATTCTTAGAAGGAAAGTCTGAATTGTGAGATAAAGGGTAAAAAATTTCCTTTTTATTTTTTGTGATGAAAACAAAAAGAAAAAAAGAATTACTCAGAATACACAGAATTGCAAGAAAGTCAGAATTTTGAATTATTTTGTGGCATAAATTAACTTCCATAAGTAACACAATGAATTAAACAAGATATTTGTAAGTAGAAAGACTGAAATATAGTATTTTCTTGGAAAACATACTCCAATGATCTTTGTGTACAACTTTGAAAAATAAATTTTTACGGTGTGGTTTTATGTGCTTTGCCCAATGCCACAATGGTAATAGTTTAAGTTCAAACCTACAACCTCTTAGCTACCAGCCAAGATCTTTTACGGACTTCTGAAATGAGCAGGCATAATGAACCAGCTTAATTCAGATAGTCAATAAGTCTGCCATAATATAATAACAAACATGTGTGTGTTTGTTTTCCAGTGCGCTCAATGCGCTATAGTGTGAGAATGTGTGTGCGTGTTATTATTTCTAACACCATATGCGCAACACGCTGTACGTGACAGAGTTTTCCTTCCTTGAAACACCTCTGAGGAGACACAGGAGGCTCAACACTTCTCTATAATTCCTCTCACTTCTAACAAGCTGCACACCTCAAATTGATTCCTCGACTTCTCAAACAGCACCGAGTAAACACTTTTCTGAACCGCAGAGCAGGAGAACTAACCATTTCTACATTTCTAATTACGGTTAAAGGACATGAAGTTCTACATAGCAGCCAAAGTGAGGCCGCTCAGATTAGAAATGTCATTAGAAGGCGATAAAGTCATTGGCTTGAATCTGACACTTATTAGCTTTGGCAGCGTTTCAGTGATTAAGCAGGAAAAAACGTCAACTGCTGAGCCAAAAGACCTAAAGCACGCCTTTCATTGTGCTAATCTGTCTGTATCTGGCTTGGAAAAATGACCAACTCTCTTTGAAACATCACTCCGCAATTCTTAAGAGGAATTTTTTGCTGACAGGACTTTGCAATTGAGATATATTACGAGATGTGCAGCCAGCATTTAGATGTCAATCATCTGTCCACTTCAAAATGTGGTTATTAATGGCATTTAACCCTAAAATCCCCAGATCATGCAGCTTATTGAGGAAAACAGACTTCAAAAATGTTTACCTGGCAGATGATAAATTATGCAAAAAGTTGCTAATCCAGTCAACAAACACTTTTCTATTCTTGTACACAATAAACACAACAGTTGCGAATAATGATTATTTTGGTAATCGATTAATGTGTTGGATATTTTTTTTGATTAATCAGATTTTAAAAATGAATTTAAAAAAATTTGTTTCTGTATTTTATTGAAAAAAACATGCTATTCCAGTCTAAACAATGTGTAAGTACAATGTAACAATGTACATGGGAAAAACTGTTTAAACAATAATAATGAAAAAAGTTCTGAAGGCAGTTTAAATCACTATATTAAAAAAATTATAATAAAATAATATAATCATAATAAAGGTGACATGACTTGAAAAATTATTGGAGTATGTTTTACAAGAAAATACAATTTCATTCTACTATTTCTTTCTACTTCAAAATGTAATGTTTAATTCAATGTTATATGCCACTTCTTTGTAATTATTTATGAAATTTACTCACAAATCCTGAGTGAAAATTGTTTCAAAGTATATACTACACCATATTTTTGTGTAGTAAATAAACACCTCGGTTCTCTCATACGGTATGAGAAACAATAGGGCTGTTTTGACCTGGGGAAAAAACATACTAATGCAAGCAACATTAGAAGAGACAAGAAGGTGTTTCACTTGAAAAACTTCACGCCAAGAACATTTTAATCACCAAAATTTTGCGGTTGTACCACACTGCCACAATTGTAGTACAATGTAACAATGTACATGGGAAAAACTGTTTAAACAATAATAATGAAAAAAGTTCTGAAGGCAGTTTAAATCACTATATTAAAAAAATTATAATAAAATAATATAATCATAATAAAGGTGACATGACTTGAAAAATTATTGGAGTATGTTTTACAAGAAAATACAATTTCATTCTACTATTTCTTTCTACTTCAAAATGTAATGTTTAATTCAATGTTATATGCCACTTCTTTGTAATTATTTATGAAATTTACTCACAAATCCTGAGTGAAAATTGTTTCAAAGTATATACTACACCATATTTTTGTGTAGTAAATAAACACCTCGGTTCTCTTATACGGTATGAGAAACAATAGGGCTGTTTTGACCTGGGGAAAAAACATACTAATGCAAGCAACATTAGAAGAGACAAGAAGGTGTTTCACTTGAAAAACTTCACGCCAAGAACATTTTAATCACCAAAATTTTGCGGTTGTACCACACTGCCACAATTGTAAAAAAAAACTACCAAAGAACCACAATATGAGCCCAAAAATAAAAATTCTGATGCTTTGAAAAAAATCAATTTAACAACGTTTGTCCGTCATTAGCATCAGACCCATTTGATGAGAAATTGTGTAGGAGTAGTGAAAAAACAATGTGATCACTAGGTGGTGCATACAAGATTGTGACCAATTTAGTGAATTAACCAGCAAAAGCTATACTTTTTAAAACTGTTCAAAATACAGTACATTATAGGAGGAGAAGTACTGACTGCTAAATTATTGACTTTAACTGGCATCCAATGAAAAATTAATCAGGGACCTGTTATCACAACTTTAAAAAATGCATGGTTGCAAGTAGGGATGCACGATATTATCGGACTGATATCGGAATCGGCCGATAATGGCTTTAAATGTAAATATCGGCATCGGGCCGATATGAAAAATTATGCCGATATGTCTTTTTTGATAAGAGGAATATATTAACTCGCGTGTGCTCAGGGTGTCCTAGCGATTAGATCACGTCAGCAGTGTGGCTCATTCTTGAAGCAAAGTTTTGTCTCGATGATTAGATTGGCTGTTTTGATAGCTGCATTTAAACTGAGAATGCACGTACAGAATGATGCGTTCGGTGTGTGATAAGAGTAAACAGTAATAGCACATGCAGCGGCAGCCTCCCCCGGGTCCTAATGCCCGGTTAGTAAGGAGTTTTAATTCCGTAGGGGGCGCTGTTGGCCTACTTCTAATAAAATGAAAGCAAAATACACAAATAATATTTAGATTGTTTTGATTTAAAGGTCAGAAGCTATAGCTTACATGAACAAAAAAAAAATCACAAACATGACACTTGAATTAAATAAATTTTATATATACCGATTTATTCATTAATGTGCAATATGTTATATTTTTTAAACAAATTATGAGCTCTAAAAGATTTTCAGAATCTTTACAACTATTTTGCTTTAGACCATTTACAAATGTTAAATCATAAAATAAAATGTTAAGATTACCACTGCATCTTTCCGGGGGGAAAAAATGCAGTGATTAATATATAGTTTATTTATAGTTATTTTCAAATCTTCAATGTACTGTCATTATAAAATAACTTTGTTATTGTTTATTTAATTCTAACAAATAAGTTCTTGTTAAAAACGAACCAAAATTAAAAAATAATTATATATCGGTATTGCCATCAGCTATCGGCCAAAATGAGTTGAAAATGATCAACATATCGGATATCTGCAAAAATCCAATATCATGCATCCCTAGTTGCAAGTTAAAAATTCTATTTTAAAACATTTTTGGTTACATTAGCTTAATATTGTGACAATCGAAGCTTCTGTCGAATCGTGATCTCGATTCCATTTCGATTTATCGTGCAGCCCTATTGTGTGGAATGTAAACTTTAAAATTGTGCATTAAGCGATTTTAAATTAAGTTGTAGTTACTTAATCAAATTGTCTTGTTAACTTGGAAATGAGTCAAGTTCCCATATGCTTTGTGTAGGACTGGATAAGGAAAGTAAATGTTGAAATCCAGTGTTTTTGAGTGAAGGGAAACACCTGTTAGTGTTTAATGCTGTTATGTTTGACATTTAAAAGACTTTCTGTTATGTAGAAGTTTTTGTGGTTTGTGCTGAATAGACTAAATGAATGTAAACTGTTCAACAGTCCAAATTAGTGCTTAAAATTATAAGTTTGTTAGAAAAATGTATAATATTTTAGCACCAGCTTAACAAACAATCTTAATATCTCATCTGTTGTGGATTTTAATATCTTTGAAGTGGGTCCACAAACAGTGTGGGTTATGAAATTATTCAATTCTGACGGAACTCTGGTGTAAAAGTCACATTTTACAACTTTCCTTCAAACTGAATGAAAGCAAATAAATGCTGCCCTATCCTGTACTCGCAGTTGCATCGCTAAACTTTATGCATTTGGCATATGGTGCAACTGGAACAAGACGGACAGAAACCCCGACAAGTCCGAGCAAATGATGCATTTGTCAGTCCTGCCACCTGCGAGTACAATAAAGAAATATTCGTGTCTTTCAGCGCAGCTGCGCGCCTGAACAAAACGGTCCCAGATGGCTGATGGCATATCATGAAATCCGCTTTTTGATTAAAACTGATCGGCCTTTTCATAGGATTAATTGCTTATGAGCGCATGAATGTCGGGCGGTTCGCTGTCCACTAAATTAATGAACACTCCGAGCAGAGGCGGACAGGAGCGCGGGCATCTCGCCGCTTTAATCCTGTGCACACATGCGGAATAATCCGGTCTTATCTGCTCCGACTGCGTCTGAAAACTGTTGCTCGATCAGGGTTTAGCCACTTGCGGCAATTGGTCAGTTTTGCTGATCCGTGAGTGTGTTGAGAGCCAGCTGCAACGGATCTGAAACCGAAATAGCATCTGACATTTCTGAGAAAATAAGGCAAGCGGGGAAGCAAGCAGACTGTAAACAGACTCACGCGTACCTCCTATGCGGGCGTTGTAGGCTATGCCCACAATGCAGTGGGAGTTGTTGGCTACAGCAGCAACTTCACCTGCACATCGTGTCCCGTGTCTGGAAAGAAAATAAATGCAAGCATAAATCACACAAAGAATTAATATGTTAGTGTGTGTTTGAGCTTGCGTTTGATCAGAATTTTGAACAACGTGAGTCTTTGTTCTCTATTATCTCCTTTTTATTCTGTCCTCTTCACACTGCTAAAGGCCAAAAAAATACACTAAGACACTGCCTCTGATTCAAGCCATAGGGATTTGCCTCATTGTCTATGGCCTACATTCAAAAGTTTGGGGTCGGCAAGATTTTTTAATGATTTTGTAAATTTCTTATGCTCAGGCTACATTTATTTGATTAAAATCAATGTTGCATCAATAATAATAAAATATTATTATAATTTACAGTCAGGGTTTTTATAGTTACTACAACCATAAAAATCTTTTTAAAACATTTTTAGAAACATTTACACAAATATTTATTTTCAGCAAGTTGCCAAGGCAACAAAAATTTAACTGAAATCAAAATTTATAAAAAAAGAAAAATATTCTTTAAAAAATTAACTCGAAATGTTAGATATTCTAAATATATAAGAGTATCCCAATGATACTAAAATAACATTGTTTAAAATTATTTATATTAATTAAATAAATATATTTAAGTTATATACATAATTACCGTGAAGAAAAAATTCTCACATCATGAAATAACAAATGTGGTCATATCACCCACCCCTAGTATATTATATTTTATATATATATTTCAAATATATAATTTATTTAGAAGAAGTCTCTTATGCTCATCCAGGCTGCATTTTTAAATACAATAAATTTTCAATATGCAATAAATATAGTGCATTTTATAAAAAAATACAGTAATGAATGTAAAATATTATTTTACATTTACAATTTAAAATAATAGTTTTATATTTGAATATATTTGTAAAATGTAATTTATTCCTGTGATGCAAAGCTGAATTTTCAGCACCATTACTCCTGTCTTCAGTGTGACATGATTGTGCAAGAAAGTAAATAGGGTGAATTTTTGATTTCATTTTGGGAACCAAAAGCAAAACACTTTTGGACTCTGAAGACACATTTTAAAACAGATATTGAGTCAATCCTACATCCACCACTGTCAAAGTGGATACAGGAGCACAAGATCGCTGCCGGCTGCATTAGAAATGCATTAATTGCATTTTTATCTTGTGCATTGTTCACTCACTCTCGTCCGCTCGGTGCACTTCTTTACCAAAGTCTCTTTCAATAGTTTTTTTTTTCTGTCCTCACTCAATTAAGTTTCTACTCCGGGAGGCACGTTCTGCACTTCAGAAATGAATTGAATGTCGCATTGTTTTCCGGTTTCAAATGTCCTGATGAGTATTAACAAAACAGCGCTTTGAAGTTTTGTCTGAACTCTTGGCAGAGTTCATTGGTAAACATGCAGCGTGAGCCGAGAACAAGCATTAAATCAGGTGCTTATCAAAGACAGAGACATTTTCAATTAAATTCACACCAGCCTCAATCCCACTGGATTGGATTGGTTTCAGTGCTTCGCCACAAAAGAAAGCCTCTTCATTCTGTTGACACGCCACACGAGTCCGTCGTTACTCCTTTATTTGCATGGCTCCAAATATCACAGCTCTTGAAGATGTCAGATTTTCAAAACAGTGCTCTATGAATCATAGCATTATCTATTGCAGTCCAAAATAGCGAGTACCATAATACACCCTAACAACCAGTGTTGAAGAAAGTTACTTTTAAAAGCAATGCATTACAATACTGTGTTACTCCCTAAAAAGGTAACTAATTGTGTTACTTAGTTACTTTAATGGAAAGAAATACATTACTTTTGCATTACTTTTTCTCATCTGGCCAGGGCTTGATTGTTTGTTTTTAATATAAAAAGTTCTATTTTTGGCAAATGAGTAAAGTGAAATGAGTAAAGGGGCCATTCTGATTTGCAGAAGAATAGGCTGCAGGAGAAGAAAGTTCAACACTCTTACTTCAGCAATCAAATACACTAGTTACTTTAAAAAATGTAATCTGATTGCGTAACTTGCATTACTTGTAATTAAATTCATTACCCTCAGCACTGCTAACAACTACCAAAACACCCCAGCAACTGCCTAGCAAGATACATAGGGATGGGCAATATGAGTCATTTTATTTCACGGTAACAACAATTCATCTCCTCCGCGTCACCCTGGTCCCATTTTGGAGAATATCCACTGAACGTAAACAGCGTATGCTATTGTGTGTCAGCTGCGTCACGCGGATATGTTTTCTACGTTGTTTACGCTTTGATTTGAACGAAAACAACATATCCGCATGACACAGCTGACACAGAATAGCATACGTTGTTTGCGTTCAGTGGATATTCTCCAAAATGGCACCAGGGTGACGCGGAGGAGACAAATTGTTGAATAAAGTTGTTATTTTTGTTTTCTTTGCATAGAAAAAGTATTCTCGTAGCTTCGTAAAATCACGGTTGAACCCCTGATGTCACATGGATTATTTTACCGATCTCCTTGCTACGTTTCTGGACCTTGATCGTGGTAATTACATTGCTGTCTATGGGAGAGAGCTCTCAGAATGCATAAAAAATACAAGTGTAGTTTTGAGGACATCGGGACTCACTTGTTCTCGTTGCTGGAGTCGTATCGTGGGGTCGGGTCGTAGTCATTTCCATTCACATCGTAGCTCGCCAGCTGGTCCTAAATGATGCACAAAACACATTGAATAAATCATCTGAGAAATTTAGAGTGAAATTAACATTTTGTTTTCAACTCTAAAGATCTACAGTGCTAAAATATATAACAAACAATAATTTTATCAATCATACTGTGTTGAGCAGTGCTAATATTGTTAACTAAAACTGAAACTATTAAAAACATTTACATGAACTCAAAAAAATTAAAAGCTTTCAGTTATACTGTCAGTAAATAATAGACTGAACAAAAATTGGTGTAAAAACTGCTAGTAAATTTCACCAATAATTGCAAAAAATGGCAAGTAACATTGAATTGAATTGAAACTTTGAAGTAAAAATAGTGAAATAGTACTTTCTTGTAAAAACCTACTAAAATAATCCGTCTTATTTACAACTTTAAAAAATCTTTTTTACAGCGTAGTTGCCAAGGAAATATTTAAAATTTTTTGTTAAGTTTAAGTTAAAGCTGAAACGGAAAATAACACAACTAAAACTGAAATAAAAATAAAAAACTATGGACATTAAATTAAATGTAAAATAAAGCATAAAATATTAATAAATAAAACTATCATACTATATTTATGATATTAAAATATCACTTAAGTCAAGACACCCCAAGATAAAACTAAAAATGTATAATAAATAAAAAATTGACTAATAATCAGTTAATAATAAATAAATGAACTTAATCACAATCTTCCACAGCTGATTGATTTCATCAAGAATTGCAAACATTTTTTTATTACAAGTTTTTTTAAATGTTATGTTTAAATATACAAATGAGGTATTATCTCCAGAACAGAAATCTGAACATTGGATAAAGTCAGATTTTAAATTCTTGTTTTGTTAACATTTTTCGACTTTAAAGATATCTATATAACTGAAATCTACAGACAAAAAAATTATAAAGTATAATAAAATAAACTTAAAAGTGTATTTTGGGTGTTACTAGTCTGAAAGAAGACAAGTTATGAAAAGCCCAAAATCTCAACAATTGACCAGTTCAAGAAAAATATATATTTCTGCCTATAGTGTCTTGCCTAAATAAAATGCATTTACAGCAATAATCAATTATCTGCAACAGGAGATCAAGATAATCTCACATAATTCTGTGCCAGATCCGGATGGTTCCTCTCAATACCGTCATCCAAGATGGTGACGACCACATTTCGACCAGTGTAGCCTCTCTGCCAGGCCGCAAGGATATTCATTTCTGAACGGCAGCGGCTGTTTTTATCACTACAGTGCTGGAAAACAGTGAAAAGTCATCAACATCAATGTGAATATGCCTTCACTTGCAATCAGTTTAAGACACACGCATTGACTTTGAAAACAGGAAACATTGGAAGACAATTAGGCCGAAGCGATATTCTCAGTTCTCCAGAAACACAAGCCTTTATTACTTGAGTAACCATATGACTCAATCCCTCTGTGAGGAAATATGTCACAACAAACGGCCGCGTGAACCTGTAAATTAAACGGGACAATTCATGTTTATTCAGCAGCAGAGGTTTGCGTGTCCTTGAGGGTCTCATTTAAGATTCTTTTCAACGCCGTCTTTGAGGACACGATCAACAAAGACGTCCCAGTGTGAAGTCAACTTCAGAGGACGGATTGAAAACAGTCTCAGATTCCTTTGTGCTGGAATATTAATCATACGAGCGCAAATAAACACAGAATGTGCTTTAATAATGTCTGAAAACATCAGCTCTAATGGATTAACCATTAATCGTCTAGTGTTTGATACTGATATATGGAGAACAAAAGGATCTGCATAAAATTGACGAGGTCTACAGTTCTTCGAAGACACTTTGGAGCGGAAAAAATTAACAAAGAGCAACAAATTTTTTCAGGAATTTTTTTTCCAAGACTACTCTTCAATCAGTAATCAATGTGAAGCTTGATGAAATAGGAGCAAAAGTAAAACGCAAACATAAACAATCATTATAGAGTGAAGAAGGACAATTCATGAAGCTACTTTTGCCTGTAAGAGTTTGTGTGTGTGTGTGTGTGTGTGTGTTTGTCCTTTTAGGGCTTGACTTGGAAAGCTCAGATTCAAAGAGAAAAGATTTATATTCAGTAAACAGACTGTTCGGCCTCTGCTTTCTTATTGTATGAATCATTTAACCCCCATCTTGCTTCCTGGATCATCATAGAGCAGATGCAATCTCCAATATGACATTAACCAATCATTGAATCTGAGTTTGAGTCGATTCACTGAATCAGAACTGATTCACAGATTTTCTTCTCATTTTTTTACCTGTTTGCTCTCAAACCAGACTCACAAAGAGTAAACAGCACAGAATGAAGAAAAGCAACAGAAAAAGGAAGAATTCAGAGGGCTGTGTTTCAATTCTTACTTGACATTATTCTGATGTAAACTCTTCTACACTAGTCCATATTTACAGACTAGTTGTTTTCATATTCACACTCTTGCAAGCTATTCTAAATCAAACTTTTTTTATAGTATTTTTATATTTATAGTATTGTCCAGTTGTAGTGTTTTTCAAATTGTAGAGCAAAAACATATATATTTAATATATATCACACAGTGAGATGGATTTTAAAGCTTTAGAGTTCCAGGAGGTGCATTCATCAAATAAATCACTAATTCTTCAAACTTTTCTGAAAACTGTAGAAGCCGAAAAAAAAATCTTTATACCACAAAGAAAACCTATCCAAAAGAGATGCATGTATACAAACTGAATTTTCTTCAAAATAATGCAACATAATAATGCAATCACATTCGTCCACAATAGCACAAAAAGAGTGCAGTGGATCATATGGAAGTCAGATTCTGCCACTAAATAAAAAACAATAGAAAATACTTTTTATCTCACAATTCTGGCTGTCTCGCAATTCTGAGTTTATATCTTATAATTTAGAGCTTATATCTTGCAGTTCTTACTTTCTGTCTCAGAATTCTGTTTATATCTCGGAATTCTGACTTCTTGTCTCAGAATTCTGTTTATATCTCACAATTCTGAGTTTATATCTCATAATTCTAAGTTTATATCTCATAATTCGGAGTTTATATCTCATAATTCTGACTTCTTGTCTCAGAATTCTGTTTATATCTCACAATTCTGAGTTTATATCTCATAATTCTAAGTTTATATCTCATAATTCGGAGTTTATATCTCATAATTCTGACTTCTTGTCTCAGAATTCTGTTTATATCTCATAATTCTAAGTTTATATCTCATAATTCTAAGTATATATCTCATCATTCTGAGTTTATATCTCGCAATTCTGACTTCTTGTCTCAGAATTCTGTTTATATCTCATAATTCTAAGTTTATATATCATAATTCTGAGTTTATATCTCATAATTCTGAGTTTATATCTCGCAATTCTGACTTCTTGTCTCAGAATTCTGTTTATATCTCATAATTCTGAGTTTATATCTCATAATTCTAAGTTTATATCTCATCATTCTGAGTTTATATCTCATAATTCTAAGTTTAAATCTCACAATTCTGAGTTTATATCTCATAATTCTAAGTTTATATCTCATCATTCTGAGTTTATATCTTGCAATTCTGACTTCTTGTTTCAGAATTATGTTTATATCTCACAATTCTGAGTTTATATCTCTTAATTCTAAGTTTGTATCTCATAATTCTGAGTTTATATCTCATAAGTCTAAGTTTATTTCTCATAATTCTGAGTTTATATCTCATCGTTCTGAGTTTATATCTCGCAATTCTGACTTCTTGTCTCAGAATTCTGTTTATATCTCACAATTCTGAGTTTATATCTCATAATTCTAAGTTTATATCTCATCATTCTGAGTTTATATCTTGCAATTCTGACTTCTTGTTTCAGAATTATGTTTATATCTCACAATTCTGAGTTTATATCTCATAATTCTAAGTTTATATCTCATCATTCTGAGTTTATATCTTGCAATTCTGACTTCTTGTTTCAGAATTATGTTTATATCTCACAATTCTGAGTTTATATCTCATAATTCTAAGTTTATATCTCATCATTCTGAGTTTATATCTTGCAATTCTGACTTCTTGTTTCAGAATTATGTTTATATCTCACAATTCTGAGTTTATATCTCATAATTCTAAGTTTATATCTCATAATTCTAAGTTTATATCTTGTAATTCTGAGTTTATATCTCGCAATTCTGACTTCTTGTCTCAGAATTCTGTTTATATCTGACAATTCTAAGTC